TACATGTTCTGGATTTCTATTATAAGAGATAATTCATTATATTCATTATGAATGAGGACATCTTCATGTATTTTTATAATTTTTATATTTATTATTTTACATTTCATGTATTTTTACCCAAAATATCTAATTACTATTACCTCCCAGAAGAGTTTTTGGAGGTAAGTACAAGAGGGAAAAGCAACATGAAGTAGATGGCCTTTCTTTCAAAGCTAAACTCCAAATAATGTCCTCTGGTAGACAAGAAGTTAGGAGTGTAATGTCCTTACTTCTTTAAGAAACAAAGGTTTCTAATTCTTTAACAAGGAACTGAAGAAATTGTATACTTTGTCAAGTTAAAGGGAGTTACTCTAAATCCTGGAGCACTGTGCCTTCTAGGAGGAACTGCTTGGTTCTGAGAGCTAGTCATCGTGTTCTTGAACTAGCTGTTTATACTCTTTCTTATGCAAGAACAAAAGATCACCCAAAGGAGGGTTGAGTCTACTAAGCCCATTGCTAGACAATCTTAATGCTAAAATTTCCCATCTCTGCATCTTCTTTTTTTCTCCAACTAACCCTCTAGCACAATTTGCTTTTTCCCCCTTTCATGAGGACTGGACTATGTAACTGTCATGCTGTCTTTCTATCTAAGTGCCCCCTTAATTTAAGTGAGGTTTGTCCTTAGTATGCATACACACTACTCTTGGAATACCACTGGTAGTTTACCTTTTAAAATTTCCATTGGAATTTTTTATATTTGTAATACACTATTTTTAAAAATAGTATTTTTTTATTGAGGTAATGTTTGTTTACATCACTGTATGTTTGCAGTACAAATTCACACTTCTAGAGATGTTACCACACCCACCACAAAACACCCACAATCTTCTATCATAATCCATTGCCCTCCCCTCCAAATTTTGCTCCCCACCTGCCCCAATAGCCTCAATTCTATGCTCAACTTTTCTTTATATTCCAAATCATCCAGTATTTGTCATCTCCTGACTCATGTTACTCAGTATCTTGTCCAGTTCCATTCATGTTGATGTAATTGACAACTTCACCTTTTGGCAATCTTTTTTTTTTTTTTTTTAACTAACTGAGCAGTATTCCACTGTTTGTATGTACAGCTTCTTCACTCATTCATCACTGGGCACTTCAGCTGTTCCCATAACCTGATTATAAACAGTGCTTCACTGGACATAGAAGTGCAGATACCACTTTCAAATACATTTTTGTGTAATTTTCCTTTTAATTACTAAGTTATAATAGAACAGCTTCCTGATGAGTCAATGTAATTACCATTGTACTTGAATTAGTTTACTATTAGTTGTTACAAATTACCACACATTTAGAAACTTAAAAACAAACAAAAATACCTTGTATTCTGGAGGTGAGAAGTCCCAAAATGAAGGATTCATTCCTTCTGGAGGCTTTCATGGAAACTGTTTCCTCACTTTTTCTAGCTTCTAGAAGCAACTGCTTTCCTGGCTCGTGGCCTCATTTTCTATCTTGAAAGTTAGCAGCATAGCATCTTCCAAACTGACCCTTCTGCCTCCCTCTTAAAAGGATCTTGTGATGACATTAGGCCCCCTATAATCCAGAGTAATTTCCCTGTTTTAATCACAACTGCAGTGTCTTTTTGGCACATAAACTAACATCCACAAGTTGTTGAAATTAGACTTTGACATCTTAGAGACTATTATTAGCCTCCCACACTATTTCCATTGCTGCCACTGCTAAAATTTCATTGTATACCTGAGCCAGGTGCTGTGCTGTTTCACACTTCTTATCTTTTAGTCTGTAAACGACATGCTAAGATTGTGTAACTTTCTCAGAGGCTTGTGACAAAGCCATTGCTTCCTGATGACAGTAATTCATCTCAAAAGTAACAGTAATTCACAAATCTTCATTCCTACTTTTATCTAGTATTGATATATATGCCTGTAAGACTACAAACTTCTACTTTTAGAAAAATGTAGTCAGAAACATCATATGGATAGAAACTTGCTTTTAGAAAAAAATTGGGTATGAGTAGCTGGGATTTAAAGCTAATAGTTTCTGGGTTCAGTAAGCTCAACTCATTGAGACCAGCACTAATCACTTATGGTTGCTGATTCTAAATGTTCATTGTCCTAAGCTTAGAAATGATGATTTAAACCCTTGACCATATACTATAAAATGCATAACCATTAAATGGGGTCTTTGTCAGTAAAATGTGGGTTAATGTCCAAATGCATCACTTGTTCAAAAACTACTTTAAAAATGATGGTTGCCACTATGGAAAACTGTTTGGAGGTTTCTAAAACTGCTAAAAATGGAGCTTCCATATGATCCAGCAATCCCACTCCTAGGTATCTACCCAAAAGACACAAAGACACCGATTCAAAAAGACATCTGCACCCCCATGTTTACTGCTGCTTTATTTACAATCAGAAAGACAGGGAAACAGCCCAAAATGTAGATGACTGGATTAAAAAGATGTGGTGCATATACACAATGGAATATTACTCAGCAACCAAAAAATAAGCAAACACATGCCTTTTGCAGCAACATGGATGGAGCTGGAAAAGATCATGCTTAGTGAAATAAGCCAGTAAGAAAATGAAAAATACCGGATGGCTTCACTCATAGCAGGAGTATAAAGGACCAGGGGAGAAGATAATAAGGAATTATAGACCAGAGACATTTTATGGGGGTGAAATGGGGTCAAAAACAGTGGGGGGAGGGAAATGCACTGGACTACGGTGATGGCACACAGGTGATTTTGTGATGGGAAGCCCAAGGGGGTTACAACTGAGATGGAAGAAGGCACAAAATGAAGTCACAAAATGATGTAAAAATAAACTATTAAAAAAAAACCTGACGGTTGCATAAGAATTTCACATTAGCACTGAAGGAGTTCCACTTTATGTAGCTGAATAGCATGTTTAGTGTACTCTTGCCATTCAAATCTGTTAAATATGTTCCTTAAAGTATTGTGATGTGCCTAAACAGATGGTATCTGAACAGAACACTCACCAAATGACAACTTGACACCTAAGACTTGTTAAAGTATTAAAAGGGCTAGATGCTCTTGAACACAGGCTTGAGCCTTTTTGCCATCTGATTTGATCAAGGATACTTGAAGATTGGATATAATTGAGATTACAAAAACTTGCATGAAAATAGTCTGAGTGGTTTACAGCCTGTTGGCTAACTAATTTCAGCTGCACATGGGAGTTATTGTAATGATCCATTAATCCATTTGAACATGTGTTATAGATTAAGTATGTGCTACAATTCTTATGTAGATATGGTTGTGCTGAGTAACAAATTTGCTTACAAAGATCATTAAATTAATAGAAACTTTTGGCTATTTTCCACTTTATTAATCACTCTATACTTAAGTACAAATTAAGTGTAAGATTCTGATATCCTTAAAGTGGTTTTGGTACTATTTGAAGAATTTAACAAGTGTTCACAAAATACCTAACACACAAACTTTCATACATGTATATTAGAGCTGTAAAAGAGCTGCTATCTGACAGCTCTATTCAGGAGAGCTAGTCTCCTACAAGATGTGCTGAGTTGAACAATGAAATAACAATAGCTGGTAATACTGATGAAACCTTTCAATAATAGCTATTTCTATAGTAGCTTATGAATAAGGTTAACAAGCTCAAGGTCAAAAGTACTATTTCATATTTTAAAAACTGGCCTGCAATAAAATTACCTAAATTGATAAACTACACAGGTCTGTTTCTAAACCCCAATACTAACTTGAAAGAAAAGTGTACTTGGCGTTCAATTTGTACACAAATACTACCAGTTTGTTACAGCATTTTACAAAAATTGTTCACACTGCAACCTCAAAATTGGAACACCTTATCATTTGACTTTCAAAAGGGCCAACTGTATTTTCAAAGCTGAGAAAACTAACCACATGAAAGGCTAAGTGAGCTAAGATTATAGCATAGTTGTAGCAGAAAAGCTTAATTATTAAAACAAGTTACACAGTGGCAACAACGGGTTAGATTTTAGAAAAGCTTCATATAAGCACATTTTGAATGATGGATTCCAATTAAATAAAACTGGAATCTTGCAGTCTTACCTTCCTTTAAGTGAAAGAGAGAAAAACCCTGACTTGAACTGACAGTACAATACAATCCAGGTGCTGAATGTATATATATTTAATGCAGTCATTTTTAGACCCAATATAATATTTCTCTTTAAAGATTAGGCCCTAATAATTCACTTTTATGTCTAAATAACATTTACTAAAATGAACAGGTTTGTAATGAAAGGCAGGATTTGGTTTTAGAAAAGTATAAAGGATCCAATATTCCTAAGCTGTTCAAGCATTTTTTAAAAAAAGTCCTGTCTATAAGATTGTATGACACTGGAATATCTGTGCTTGCAGATTCTCACTGAAAATCTTAACCACAGGTTTAAATTAAGTTACATCTTTCGGAAATGTTGGAAATGATTTAAACCCATGGAATCATTTACAAATTTAGATCAATTCCATAGTTCTTGTTTAGCTTGACACATAATACCATACCGGAGCTAAAAATTTATTCTACTAGGGGTGGAGGGAGGAACTGTCAGAGACAGTCATGTTTGCCAAGCAGATGACTTTTAGTTAGCTGAAATCTAAGGAGGAGCTAGAGTTGAGATTTCTTCTGGCATCTGGTGAGGACTACCTGTGCAGTTTTTCACTGAAGTTGTTAGCTGATATAAAATGTATCTCTTTCCCCCAAGTACTCACCTATAAAATATTTATTCTCTTTTTATGACTTACAATTGACTACTAGAGGATATATTTTCTGCTGACTTCCAGAGCACAAAAGTTTAAACAGCAGTCCTGAACAGACTTAGGTCACTCAATTCTCCCATTCAACCAACCAACCAATCAACCAACCAGCCAGCATTTTCTGATCATTCATTGTGTATTGCACACTCAGTTATCTTAAATGGAACCAAAACAACAACAAAATATTTTAAAGAATTACCAGAACTTTTATTTTTGCTTAGTTTTATTAAAAAAATAAATATGTCATAAAGCTTTTTTTTCCTTTAGGGAGAAAAAAAAAGAACAAGTTTCATAAAATCAAATAAGCAATGGTAAGGTATCTTAACTTGAAAAAGATCGGGAATCACTGGTTTACAAGTTATAATTGAATCAAAGAACTGTAACAGCCATAGTTGGCTGTTTCATGCCAATGGCAGCAAACAACAAAGTCAACTAGGGCAAAATAAATAACTGTGTGGAAGCCCTGATAAGTGCTTGAGCAGACTTATTCACTGAGACACCGGTATAGATATATCTTGCTTTAAACAACACAGAAGTTCCTGAAAATTTTTTGTAAATGAAATAACCACAAACATACTAGGAGAGCTTGATATCTGAAGGAATTCTATGGTGAACTGTTTTGTGAACAACTACTTCCACCTCCATTAATCCAGGTATTTGCTTTGCTTAAAACAAATTATATCTAGCTCCACCACTCTGAAGTGAGGCATGAGCATAGTCACTTAACACAGCTCAAGCTGGGCCAGTGGCATAACTTCCAAGTTTGTGTTTCTTTTATTAAGTAGTGTAAAATACAGAGTCAGCCAGGAAATCCAGCTGCATCTGGCAAAGCAGGCATAGGGGTGGGATTACCACCTTCAACAGTTATTTCCAAATCAACAAATACTTTGAGTCTACTTTGTGCAAAGCATAATAACAAACCGTTATCAACTGGTTATATGTACTACTACTCTCTAAAATCTTCAGTCAGGGGCTAGGTCTGGAACTCTAATAAAGTAGTATTTCTAATCCTCAAGATTGACATTAACCAAATTAGCAGCCCAACTCCTTCAAGCTGGGATAAGATGATAATGGAATAGATTGAGTTTCTCAAGGTTGAAGTTTAGTAATACAAGAATCACATTTCATATAACTAAGTGAAAAATTTTGCTGGTGACAAAACTTTCTAAATAGTTCCTTTTTAAACTTCTCCACAGAACTTCAAATTCTCAGGTAAACTTGGCAAAAGTTAATGATGCTGTCTGGTTGGGTGGTAGATTTCAGTCCACCCATGAGAAATTCGTAGTCTTACCCTATACCTTAGTAGTGATGCTCTGAACAGGGAACAAGTATGGTAGTACTAGTTTCAGTCAGTTTTAGCATTGTAAATAAACAGAATTCTCACTATACTTAGAGCCTCCATATTATTTGGCCAAACTTCCATCAGGCTCAATTACATTTATTTAATTAGTAGGCTGTCCAGTTTCCTTTTTAAAAAAATACTTCTGCTAACACTGCTGCCTACATGTCCAAGTGTGAATGTGGAGTATGTAATCTGTAGTCTTTTTCATACTGAGTACACTAACAATTAGTAAATCATTAAAGAATAAGTGGTCATTTAAAACCTGTATTTCTTAAAAAATTTCACTTTCTAGCACTTAAAAAAATGGGTCTTAAAAGTGCCCTGTTAATGACCAATGCTGTTCCCCCACTCTATCCCACCCATCCAAAACCTGCTACAAATGCTGGATTGAAATCATATCAAATAATTTAGCAGTACCAAGATTTTTCAAATGGAAACAGTGTTACTGACTTCTTCATATTGGATAACAAAATAAGGGTAACTCTGGTCATCATTAAAAATGACAAAAATCTGAGGCTCAAAGAAATTATCCACACAAGAGTCATAGAGGTCACTGGTAACACAGCCAGGATTAACTGGAGGGGGCCTCCTCATGCCATGACTGCCCATTGTATATCTGCCAGTTAGCACTTTAGCCAGAAACATGAAATGGACTCCTTTGGAGGATTTCTTAGAAAAGTTATGAGAATAGCTTGCCTTCTTTGCAAAATAACTTCCTTGTCCAAACATTGTAGCATGTTTTCCACATACACGAGGGTCAAAGTTGTGCTTGCAGATTCCATCCACCACATCCTGGGATGTTCCATGAAATAAATGTCTCTCATTTATTATTCTGTCACGGCCAAGCATCTTCCTGTTCATATATTCCTTTTTCCTAATGTAAAGAGTAGACAGGGAATTCAGAAGAAAGTTATGGATCAATTTCATAGGAATAATGTAGTCATAAACCTCTCTTTATAGTGTCAAGGGGGAGGAAACATCAAAAGCAAAATGCCATCAAAGATCTTATTAAATTTAAACTTATATTTTCCATTGCAGACAAGAAAAATCCGTTTCACTTTCTCTACAAACCATTTGTTTTCTCTTCCATTTCAAACGAAGTCCTCACACCTTACCTACTAAGATGGCTTGTCTATTTACCAATCCAAACCTATGTATATTCTTTTTATATAACATTAGTTTGTTGACTGACAGACAGCACAGTAACATGAGTAAGAGCAAAGCCTCTGGTGATAGACTACCTGGGCTCAAATTTCAGCACCATATCTTATTAACCTGTGTGGTATGTTATCAAACTTTTCTGTCAGTTTCCTCTCTGTAAAATGTAGTTTATAATTATCCTATTCCTAGGTCTATAAGGATTATACATAAGTAAATATATGATAAAATATGTACACATTAAGTTCTATGCAAATCTTCACTGTTAGGTCCTGCATTTGTCATGAGCTATATTAAGCAAAATTGTGTCTATTATAAAGTTATGTATATAATTATAAAAAAGTTGTTAAATAAAATTACAAAATAAATACATCATGGAGGTGTAATATATAGCATTGTGATGATAGCTAACAATACTGTATATATCTGAAAGTTGCTATGAAAGTACATGTTAACTAGTTAATGTGATCACTTCACAATATACACAACTATCAAATTATGTTGATCAATTATGTGGAACTAATATGTCAATTACACCTCAGTTGAAAAAGAAAGCTCTGTTGAACTTTCTCACACTGCTGACTCACCTTTTATATTTCTCCCAAAGAAACTGGTTTTGGACTCTTAATATCTGCAAAATTCTATATTTAAATTCAGGCACAGTCTTATGAAAGAGATTATAAATGATTCGATAACTTTTGTCCTCTGCAGAAACAGGCACTTGGATAAAGTCCTGAGATGGATGCATATAAATCCAAGTTTCAGGGTAAAAGTTTGCTGAGGTAACCCCATCTGGGCAGATGATTTGTGATGATGAGGTTGCTTCAAGAGGTGGAGGAGCCTGTGTAGGAACACCACCAAGTGTTCTAGAAGGGAGAAAAAGGATGTCCATGTAAAACTCTCAGAAATAAGTACATCTTACATTCCCGTGCTCTACAGAAGTACTGAATATTGTAATTTGCATAGCTTAAAGTGCTTGTTTAAAAAACAATATTAAAAATATATTAGGAAAAAAAATCTTATGCGCAAAAATTGCCTGTACACAGATAACCAATTGGTTTCTTTATGGCTTCTTCTCTTTGGAGAAAACTCTGGAATGTGCTGCTACAAGGCAAGCAAGAACCAACTTGTACATATCTTTACTTTTTAAATCCCAGGCTCCCTCTTTTGCCTCTATAGCTAAAGAAACTTTGTTTGAAGGGAGCAATGATAATTTATATGTATTCTTCAAACTTTACTATACTAAGCAGAAAACATATTACTAAAGACTATGTAGGGAAGAGAAGCAGATTGAGGGGGAAAGTAAGCAAGGTTAGAAACAGGGAGCTTACAGGGAGAAGACCAAGTTTTACTTTTTATATAAAAGCAAAAATCATGGACTAGGCAGTGAAAACTGACACTTGGCAGTATTTCATTTTTCAGTATCACACAGCACAATACTATTTGGTTTATAGCTTTAAGTGTGCTCATGATGGAGCTAATAAGGTTAAGCACTAGACATCAGAATGCACATCACTGAATATTTAAATTCAGGTTGCTACTTTGAAGATTAGTTTTAAAAAGCAGCACCTTTGATCTGTTACTTATTTCTGCTGGATTAAATGCCTAAATTTACATTTCTTGGCTATTTTCAAAATAGAGCAAAAGGAAGGAAGCAGAGGCAAGGAAACTGGCCTTGAGTTTCAGATTTAAGATTGGGCTACTACAACACCCAATCAGTACATGGTAGTCACAATGGTAGCAGTGTATGCCAATGAATTAGTAAACAGATTTTCAAAAGTACTTTATGACACAAGTTACAGCTTACGCAAAGATGACTCTAATCTCCAAAGAATGTTTCTTACCATTCATCCTTACATTCACAGTTGCCTTATACCAAGCATATAATTTATGCACATTGTCAATAATCAGAGGTGGAGGGTAGAGGTAGTAAGGGTGCTGAGAGGATTCACCAGAGAGACCAGGGAACAGAACAGGCAGATCTACTGAAATACACTGCTAAGGGGAATAGCAGGTAAGACAGGAGAGGCCTTCTCTGCCATATGTGGGTTAACTCCCTGACTGGGGATCAAACTCAGGACATGGCAGTAACAGTGCTGAGACTTTACCCCTAAGCCACCAGGCAAGCCTCTATTCTATTTCTACTTTTCTAACAAAGAAACTGAGTATAGCTACCAAAGAGCAGATGTATGACCTACATCCAGGCCTCTCTAGTTTTTAAGCCCATATGCTTTCCATTTCCATATACTTCTCAATTTGTGTATACATTCATTTTTTACAAGGCTTGAAGGATGGATACCAGGATAACTACTCAGGTTTGCCTAGCTCTCTTCTACATACTGCCACCACCACTGCTTCACACAGTCTAATGACTTCAAGAGTTGGCTTGATAAAAGCCATAGAGGGACAACTGCTTTATCAAATTTCCACCTGCTTCAAGTAGCTGAGCCACAATCTATTTTGTCTCAAAGTTCCTTTGTGAGAAAAGAGGTGCGAGAGTGGGGAGGTGAAGGTGGAGGTTAAAGAGTCCAGGACTTACAAATTATTTTTTCACTGGTATATTTTTCTGAAGAGAAGCCCCAATCTGCTTTAATCAAATTCTTTAAAAAGTTTCCTTTTAAGGTACTTAAAAAAACAAAAACACAATTCTGGAGGAAGGACAGGAAACTGAATATAAACGACCGCCTTCCTTTTTGAACTGTTCTCTCTATCCCTCTTCTGCAAAGAGAAAGACGTTATAGCCCACCAGGTTTCCCAGTATTATTGAAGTCATTAGGTTGAATTTACCAATAGAGATTTCTGGGTGGAGGGGAGAAGGGTAAAACTCTCCCAAGTATTATGCCCCAAATAGGTTGTAGGTTATTTGCAGCCAAGCTAAAAACCTGGCACTGACAGCAAAAGAGACTGCTTTTTTCACCACTCCTCCCTAAAATCTAGTTCAATCAAACAAAAGCTTCAAATGTATCTATCCTTTCCTATTTCATGGGTTAGGGTCTACTATTTATTCACAATGCTTGAATATGAATCTGCGTAAATAAATCCTATCCATCCAAAGATAATAAATTACATATTCATAGCTCTATATGTATTACTGCTATGTAAATAGTATCTAATCTGACCTGTAGTTGCTTATTTTTCACAAGCCAACAAATGAATTGCCTTAGAACATAAAATGCCTATCTGACTTCCATACTAGTTAATATGGATTAAAAATATATACATATCCAAAGCAGTTACAAACATGCTTTTATTTTCAGAGAATGCTAAGAAGTCTGTATTCAGCTGATGATCATTCCAATTATATGCTGCATGCTTCCCAGTGCTGCACTAGCCTTTTTTAAAAAGCCAAAGTCGGGCCCTCCCTGGTGGCGCAGTGGGTTAAATTAGCACTGCACAAAGAAGCTTAAGCCACTTCCGCATGAGTTCGATTCCCGCCTGCCCCCGCCTGCCCCCGGAGGAGACCACATGGCGTGGCAGACCTCTCCTGACCCGCCCGCTGCTCCCCTCAGCAGTGTACTTCGTCGATCTGCCCGTTCTGCACCCTACTCTGTCTCTGGTGAATCCTCTCACCCTCCGCATCTCTGGCCTGTACCCCAGTTCTGTATGAATAAATAAATAAATCTTAAAAAAAAAAAAAAAACCAAAGTTGGCAGGCTTTGGAGCTTACACTCCAAGATCTCTGAAGAATGGATTTTCATCTATCATTCTCTTCCCTCTGCCATATTGAAAGACATTTCCTAGCTCAACCTCAGTTACAAGTACAAATTAATTCATTTTATCCTTTCTGGTAAGGAATCAAAGAAATTCTACCAGGCCTTCTTGTAACTAAAAGGTGACTTCAAGGGATAGATGTTCTTTTAGTTGCGATGCACCTATAGACCTCTCAACCTGGGACTTGTTTGCTTATGCAATTGTAATTCAAGTATTCCAATAATATTAAAGAAAAATTTTCAGTCTTACTAAAATACAGCAAGCTCAGGAAAAAAGTGCTTTGTAACTCTGAAGTAATGGATGTTAATGAGACTTATGGTAACTATTTTGCAATATTTATGTACATACACACACAGAGAGAAACCCATACTTCAACTGACAAGGTTGTATGGCAATTTTATCTAAATAAAACTGGAAAAAGAAAAGAAAGCAGCAGAGAAACCCTCACTGTAAGACATGAATTTGAAGAAAATTCACAAAGTCAGCATCCCACCAGCCCTGTTTCCACCTTAACACCCTCTATCTAGCATTCCCAATGCACAGGCATCTTGGATTCTCCCAAGGTGACCCTTTTGACATCTATGTTTATCTTTGACCCTAGGCATTTACCAACCCTTAAAAAACTAAGCTAGGCCCTCTGTGGTGGCGCAGCGGGTTGGAGCACAGCACTGAGAATCCAAAGCCACTTCCACATGGGTTCGATCCCCACCTACCCCCAAGGTGACCCACATGGCAGGCAGACTTCTCCTGGCCCACCCACTGCTCCCCTCAGAGGTGTGCTTCGTCAATCTGCCTGTTCTGCTCCCCACTTTGTCTCTGGTGAATGAATCTCTCACTGCCCCTGCGCCTCTGGCCTATACCCCAGTTCTGTATGCACAAATAAATAAATCTTAAAAAAAAAAAACAAAAAAAAAAAAAAAACTAAGCTAAACTTTCTTCCTGGCTAAGATCAAGGTTTCTCTGAAAGTCAAGCTACTTCTGCTTAGTGGAACTAATAATGCCCCTCCCCCTCCCTTTTGAGTACCCCCCAACACCAGACTGGAGGCAGATGGAAACTGAGGGCTGCATCTGCCCATCCCGTCCTGGTGAATTTGCTGCTTTTTTGCATAGTATCTTTAATGTCCTACTTGATAGCGGATTTTGGCTGTTTCAGACAAGAAGACTAAAATAGGAAATTCTAAAAAGAAAAAGGAAGAGGAAATAGTGACTTTGTTCTCTTATAAGCATATGTTATTAATAGTAAGGCTATATTTGAAGCATAGTTTTACTACTATTTTTATAGCTAAAAAAATATGTCTAGGTCTTTCTTAAGGGGAGAGGATAATTCATAATTACTTGTCTTAGGGTGAAAACAAATCAATTTTCATCATTTTATAAAACTGCCCCAATAACACAGCTCTCATGAGTAATCTTACTCTCACACAGAAGCTACATCTCCTTGATTGGCTCAGCATGACATACTGCTGGTTTCACTAATGAGTACTACCATCTCACAATGAGGACAATATGTTCCTAACTACTGGATGCTGATACTATCTCCAGCTGTGTAGTGAAATCACAGAAATGACTTTATTAACTTCTAATAATAAAAAAACCCTACAAAGTAAAAATTTTCACATTTGGGCTAGGAAGAAAAGCATACATGGCAGATTTCTACTTTTTTATGTATTTTCTTTTTAATGTTCCCTTTGAAATCTCAGAATTAGGAGCATTAAGGTTCTGTCACAATGATTTAGAAAAAAACATAGTTGAGACTTGAACTCCTAATAAAAAATAAAAAGAGCATCTTAACCTCAAAAATCAGAAGATCAACCAAGATCATGATAGCCCTCCAAGATCCGAAAGCTATCATAAAATTAGGTACAAGGTAAATAAAATAAAAATTAAAAGCCAGGATCTAAGCCCAGTATAAATGACTATAAGAAATACTTTCAAAGGTGGTCATGCTGATCAATAATATGCCCCACAGTTTGGCATCTAAGGAAACATGCCAATGATTTAGAGAGGGAAGAAACAGGACCTGGTAAAATGAAGAAGTACTCACAATTCAGAAGAGTAAGTTCAGATTCAACTTAAAAGTATTTTATTGAACAGTATGGGGAGAAGGGCCTTACTGAGCAAATGAGAATACCGATTATTTTAAAAGCTGAATTCTCCCTGTCTACTTGAGCAAGAATGAAGAACATACCACCATGTAAGTCAGGGCTCTCCATTTTTGCCCTGATAGTTCACCTGGGCTGAGAATAACAGTGCCCTAATATAAGAAATTATCAACAGAAAACTTAGTTTTCCTCGAAGGTGGCAAATGCAATCCCTCCAAATATTAGTTCTATATGGTGAAAAATGTTAACTCTATTTTTTTTGCTTTTTTCAGTTCAAAAAATCCAATAGAATACTCATTCATTTAGAGTTGTGTTATGTGGACTCTATTATTTTTCAAAGAATCAAACCTAAAAATACATAGAATTTACATTCTATAGAATATTCTTGAGGTAATACCAAGTTAGCCTGTTAATTTCAATTTTTTCTTTCAGGTGCTTAGTTGTACATTAACATAAAATCAGAGTAAAGATAAAATTTCCCATTAATCACTTACTGTAAATATGGAAGGAGTATAAAACAGGAGCGGAAGAGGGGTCTCCTTTTTATTTCTCTCCTGAAGAAAGAGTTGTGGAGGATGTAGTGGTTGTTCCACATCATGAATCGGACTTCTTTCAGACCCCGAGAGTTTGCTTCTTCAATCAATCGAACAACAGACTATGAAGTTGAAAAGAAGTAAAGAAAAAAAATCAACTTTTTACGCAATCGATATAAAATATAAAAAATGCAATGTAACTAAAAGCAAAAATAGCTAACCCTGATGTTAACATTCAAAGTTCCAGTAAAGCACAGTAAGTCAAATTATTCATAATTTTAAAAAAACTTACAAAGATGAAGAGTAGGAAGATGTTCACTGTTCTGAGGAACATGAATTACTACTACTTTATGAAACTTGTGAGGTTCAGGGACTATTCTACTCTATTTTGAGATCTTGACCCAGAGATTTTGTTTATATTTAAGGGTATTTTCAGAAGAGGAAATTGGTAGTGTATACAGGTGCTAGCTTATACAATTCAAATAAACCCATTAATTTTCAAGCCCAAGACACATAAGGAAAAACATAGGAGCAACTGAAGTATTCTGAGAATACATTTTTAAACAGCTTCTTAGATATTAGTAGCTACATTAAAGAAAAAGTCAGAAATTTTAACTCAGTATTGTATTGTATGGCAATTAAATACTGGGTCACTTTCATGTCCTACTGTCTGAAAAAAAACTTTCTGTAGAGTTAAAAATGAATTTATTAAATCAAACTGAAAAGGTCTGAGCTCTGGAATGTGAAATTAATCGCTAAAGTCCATTTCAGAATATTTATATCTGACTCAATTCTCATTCAAAGGCAAAGTAAACCATCATCATTTTAAAACCTAGCATTCTGATTGACAAAACTATTTCTACCATCTCAGACTAAGGATGCATATACACATATATGATAGGGTTTTAAATGACTGATCTGTCTGACCATAGTTCAATAAACATTTCCAAACACTTCTTTCAGTAACTGAAAAGTGAATGCTTCCCACTAGACTTCTGTTAAGTGCATACAAGATTCACTTACCAAGAACTTAGAAGCCAGATACAGCCAACAGTTATACCAGTAATTACCTCATCAAAATCACTCCAAAGTTTGGCACTGAGTCTGAATACTCACCACTGTAAATACCTGGTCTTTATTTATAGGATTCAGGAGACAGAAAGCATTTGATCTTTGTGATAACAGTGATATTTTATGTATGAATTCCAGGAGATTAATGAAAAGAAATACACTTACAGTAAAATCAAAAGAGAAGTGCTACTTTTACCAACAAGACTCAAGTTTACATTTATAATATTTTGAGTTGTTGGGACGGAAGACAGGAAGAACAGTGAAGGGCAAAAATTTAAATGTACTTTTAAGAAAAGAACCTGTAAATACCTCAGGATATTCTCTCCATCCAAAGTGGTCCCTACAGAAGAATTTCCAGGCTGTGTGGTAAATAGAGTTGACATTGCTAGAGGGTGGTGTGGACAGCCTTCGTAGTTGGTCAAATTCAGTTGTTTCATATACATTCATGGCATTCAAATCTGCCCAAAATTCTTGTCCTCTAAAAAGATCCAATAAAAAGTAAACTATTAATATGTCTGCAAAATAGAAGTATCTATAAACATCAGGCATTAAAAGTATCTATTTATAGGGTGCTGTATAATTTTCAAAACTTGTTTTATTTGGAGAAAAGTATGTTACTGATTTGTTTGCTCCCTGCACCTCTGGCCGACAGGGTTTATTCCATACCACAGCATCATGGCCTAAACCATTCAACATAATTTCAAAGTGGAATGACCCAAACCATGCTTTCAGTCAATCAGGAGGACAGTTTTAGGATGACACTAGCACAGGAAGACAAGGAGACAAAGAAACTTCTCTAAGTTTGCTCCTTTTTCCAGAGACATTAATTTAATTAACCCAACGTGGGAACAGACCATATTGCCTAATGAAAGAGGGGGAAAAAAAGAAGAGAAAAAGTAAATGATCCCCTAAGGTGAGAGAAGTACCCCTAATCCATCCAACTAACAATGTTATCTTTTATGCATGAGTTGGAGGGGAAAAGTTGGCAAAATATGAAGAAAAAATGGATTATTATGAAGCATAGCTATGTCTTTGTCATTTTTGTTTTCTGGTCTGCTGTTGCCGAATCCGCATATTATAAACATCTCTGAACTATTGAATGCAAAAGTTCTATTATAAGAAACAGAATCAGGACCCTCCCTGGTGGCACAGAGGGTTGGGGTGCAACACTGTAGGGTGGGCACAGCTGCTTCAGTGAGAGTTCAATCTCTGGCCCCGTAGGTGAGCCACATGGGATGGCAGATCTCTCCTGTCTCGCCCGCTGCTCCCCTCAGCAGTGTACTTCGTCAATCTGTCTGTTCTGCACCCCACTCTATCTCTGGTGAATCCTCTCATCACCCCTGTACCTCTGGCCTATACCCCAGCTCTGGATGTATAAATAAATAAATCTTAAAAAGAAAGAAAGAAAACAGAATCATGGGCCTCGCTGGTGGTACAAGGGATTAAGTCACAGCACTATGAAGCAATCTGCAGTCACTGCAGCAAAAATTCAATATCCGGCCAGGGAGGTGACCCACATGGCGCAGTAGACCTCTTCTGTCTCACCCACTGCTTCCTTCAGTGATGTATTTCAGTATCAGCCTGTACTGCTCTCCACTCTCTCTGGTGAATCCTCTCAGTCCTTGCACCTCTGGCCTACACCCCAGTTCTTGTGTGCATAAATAAATAAATCTTTTTTAAAAAGTCAGAATTCTTATAAAAAATGAGTTTTAAAGTGGTTCAATTAAAAGACACCTGTGTTTTCTTTTTAAATGGAACCTTGAAGCTTACTAGTGTTTGAAACAATGTGAACCACTACTTTAAGTAACTAGCAAAATATCCATTGTATTGTCCATGTATGTTTGAAAACCTCCCTAAGGAAAATAAAAATAAAATATATCATTAAGTATCACTGATATTAGAAGCATGGCTGTTTCCAAATACATTTCTTCATACTCCCTACAACAGACTTCTAAATGAATGTTTACAGCACAAAGCATTATCAGAATGTGGCATCATAACAACTGGTTCATGTGAAATGCAGGTGTTTAGACCGATATTCCCATTAGTAAATTTATTTCCCACCTATAAATCAGGTTTTGAAAAGGGTATCTTAATACTGACCCCTGAGTTTTGTTGGTTTATGTAAAATTTTCATAACTCTGCTGCTGTAACTTACTTTGAGAAATGTTAGTAGGTATTTTGTACAAAAAAAAAAAAAACACTGTTTTGTAAAAGTTTTAAAGCATTCACTTACATAAAGTTAAACAAATTACTTATTGCAGTCAGTCCCTTTAAAAGCTAAGGTAGAGATGAAGTATGGACTATAAAGTATTCTTCCAAACCTATGACACAGCTCATTCCTCCCATGAATATCTACCTTTAACAGTGCTCAATAAACACACTTGGGAAATGTCAAAATCTATTCCTCATCCATCCCAATGTTTATAATTTATTAATTAGGTTCTTTTAAATTCCTAAAGATCTTTCAAATACTCAAAGTTTTTGCTTTAGAAAGATTACTAACTTGTGATCTTAAAAAAAGAACATAATTTTAAACAAAGACAATAGAGCTTAAAATCACATGAGCATGACTTAAAATTATTTATTGTAGGCCCTCCCTGGTGGTGCAGCAGGTTAAAGCACAGCACCAAGAAGCTAAAGCCACTTTGCATGAGCTCGATCCCCGCCTGCCCCAGAGGTGATCCACATGGCACGGCAGACTTCTCCAACCTGCCCGCTGCTCCCCTCAGCAGTGTACTTGTCAGTCAGCCTATTCTGCGACCTACTGTCTGTGGTGAAGCCTCTCACCGTCCCTGCATCTCTGGCCTGTACCCCAGTTCTGTATGAACAAATAAACAAATCTTTAAAAAAATTTTATTGTAAAAAGTTCTATTTAATCAAAAAATAAAAATGTTTATGGCAAAGCTTTTAAAAAGAAAACACACACACACACACACACACACACCACACTGAAAACCTGATTTTTTTATACCTAGATTAAATCTTATTATCAAGTTGCTTTAAGCAACTCCCATCTTAGGAGAGTCTCCTATTATCAGAGTAAACAATCTCTTCCCCTTAAGTTAATTTCTAATTTCCAGAAAGATTTCTCTTTTAAGCTTTTTCTCAGTAACTGCTCCCCATTATGAGTTAACAATCCTAAGTATTTTTGCAGAAGAGCAGTTTATTCTGTTAACATGTATTAGAATATAAATAGCCAGTGTTTTTCTGCTGTTAAAGTGTGGATTTTATTCTGGACATCACTCTAGTAATTTCTGTTTAGGCCTGTATTCTTAAGACTTCATAGATAATGATTTGCATGAGAATGACATTCAAAACTGCAGCTTCTCTTACATTCTTGGTGTACTTCAGTCCTTTGGGCATTATGAAATGTCTATGACAATTCCTAATTTACTACAATCAACTCTTCTTTGGATAGATGTATCAAAGCACTATTTTAGCTCCATTTGATTTTCAATATGCTTTTCTAGACCTGACAGAGACAAAACAACATATCTGAAAACCATTATATTATCTTTATAAGATTAATTTTACCACTTGCTCTCCCTTAAACAGGGACTGTTCAAAAAATCCAAAGCCAAGACTTTTCCTCCTTAGTATGTACAAGTATAAACACATACAATATGGGTAACAAATGTTCAACATCCATTATATTTCCTTATCAAACCCTTGCTTCCTATTATCATAAAGCAGTTATGAATCATCTCTTTGTGTAATGGTGATGGTGGGCTGTATTAGGCAATACACAAAGAATAAAACAGATGTATCCCTCAGCTCCAAAGGCTTCAAGAGTAAAATTCAAGTGTAAAATCAAAGAAGCAGTACATCTGCCCATCTAAACTCATCAGTGGCAGACACGTTCTAGGAATGAAAGGACAAAGAATAGGCATGGATTATTATGGGAGAGGAGATAGTTATTGGCTTCCAGGAATGGATAAAGGTCAGGAAAATTAAAAGGCTTCACTATATCAATCCAAGATAGTTTTCTGTAAGGCTTTTTAGGAGCTGTTTAAATAAAAGTAAATAATCATAATGAAAGGATTATATGGAAGAACTAGAAAATAATTTTTCAAGCATTTCATTTCTTGGAAGAATAGAAGGCAAGGAGGGACAGGAACAGAGTGCAGAGTTAGTTAGAAACGGAAACTTTCTAGACAGGAGTACATAAGAATGAAGAAACGCAAATCTGGATATAATAGGCAATGTGAGAGATGTCAAACCACAAATTGAGGGTTTTAGAACCTTAAAATATTGATGAGATAATGTTTTAAGACTAAAGTGTTTTTTTAAAAATACAGGATATGTGAAAAATGAGTAATAGATACAGTGCGAGAGATTGGAAGGTATGATTTTATAAAAGAAGGGTACTATTATCCTGGCGAATAAGAACCCTATCTGACCTAAGGGCAACTCAAGTCAAGAGTGATTATGGAAGATAGTCACTGTGCAGTGGATTCAGACTTTATTAAATTAACCACTCAATCAAATCAATCTGGTCTGATTTACCCAACATGCAAATCCTATCATGATTAATCAGAAAAATAAATCGTATAGAGGATTGATTTTTCTATAAAAGGCAAGAGTAAACTGCAAAATTATTAACAATACTTTTCTACATGCTTTGCTTACTAACACACCACTCTACATACCAGTGTAAGACTCCAGATACAAAACTAATTTAAAATTCTGAAAAGGACACCCACCCTCATATTTTACATGCCTTATAATAATGGTTCTCCTACTACTCAACAAGTATCTTGACATATTAAGCTAACACTTTCCAACACATAGCATCCAATATATATAGAATACTAACACCCACATTAAATCAGAAACCGCACACCATCACTTCAGTATATTTCAGATACTAAAAATAAAGTACAAAAAGTTTATAATGTAAATGATAAACAGTTGGAATGAAAACCAAAAGTATTAAAGAAACAGTTGCTGAATGAAGCACAAATTAGTATAAAAACATGCCATCTTTGTCAGATAAATAATTCTTTGCATTTTTGGCAATTTCTTAGTAAGTTGTTGGAAACCAAGAAACAAACATGACCAAAGAATCATCATAAATAGATTCTTAGACAGACAGGACTATGCAATGGAGGGGGAAATGATGAAATAAGCAAAATGCTAATGTGGGGAGAGACAAATTCTGTAGCAAGTGAAGAATGTGGCACAAAGGTGGTCTGGGAATAATTCAGAGACAGTCTACCTACCTCTGCTGGAAAAGGGGTTAGGAAAGGAGATCAAAGGAGGTGTCCCAGAGTGGATGAAATGAGAACCCAAGTTTGGCCCACCACCAAGCATATAACGAGGGGCAGAATGCCTCATGGGTAGTGAATGACATATGTTGAAGTTAATGGAGCAAGGCATGAGAGATGCAAGAGTATTTAGCAAGAGTATTTAGTACATGCAGTTCATGTGGCAACGCAATGTGCACACGCATGTGTGTGTGTGTGTCTGGAGGTG